TTTTTTTTAAATGTGACCTAAATCTTATCTAGATAAAAATCCTAAAAGTAAACATTTGAAAACAAACTGTATTAATTAACACGAATCATAACAACAACTGAAGCTACTTAAATATTTCTACTGACCTTTCATGATGATGAGAGGGAACGAAGAAGCAAAAGAGACGCATGTACTGTATGGTAAGGATAGAGCATAGATTTACACACATGCACACAAACACTCATACTGAATGCACAGGTAAAAACACACACACACACACACACACACTGGTGATGTGCTGAGCCACTCCCCTAGTTTGCAAATAAAAACCCAAATGAAGTAACCCTGTTTACATTTTGTCGAGCTGAGAAAAAAAGATAAATACATACAAAGCATGTTTCCAGTTATTTGCATCAGCAGCTTATTTAGTCAGATAAAAAAGTCAAAAGTCATCATCATACTTACTCTTTCTTCATTTACATGATATCAGATGTGGATGATGCATGAGAAGACTCTATGGATGTTGCTCCTGTGTGCACCCGTCTCCTCGGCTATGTATTATACATCAGGAATAGGGAACACAATATTGCAGAGCATACTAAAGTTATTAGGTTCATGTAATCAGTTTAAGTAATTAGCTTTAACACCAGGTCGTCCAGTCGCCAACAGCCGATGAGACTGATAGTGTCATAAATTAGCCCGGAGAAGACAAGCTAACAACGGGGCCAGTGCGCGGTCGGCAGCGGGGAGCGAGTCGGGTGTAACAGGCCGTGACTGCACCCCGGTGCTCTCAGCATCGTTTAGCAGTGTCCCATTACACAGACGCTGCTGAGGAAAGAGGCGCCGTGGGACCGAGCCAGAGCCGGACTGAGAGTTCACTTCACAGACGGATGGTGAACCTGCCTCTGTTTGAGAATATGTTGGAATTCTTGCAAATGGCTGAAAACATCAGCAGTAAAATTCAATCAGTGAATCATTAATGGGAATCACTTTAGGTAATTCTTGCTTTGACAATGGTTTTGACATAGTGAGGAAACTAATATATGGCTTCTTAAGAAGTTAGCTCCATTACGCTCATGACCTCTCAACATGTACAGCTGAAGATTTGAGGCGTTCTTAGAAAGTAAGAATCTTTCAACCCACTTTTAAACCTGTCGTTCTTTAATAACGACCAAGCTCGTGAAAGTAAAACTTGTCTGAGATCAAAGCATGTTTGTCTTCCTCCGTTCGATATGTTTACAGATTCATTTTGAGAAATTCTGCCGCTTCGTTAATGAATTGCTCATTTGTTTGCATGAATAAAACACCTTTGATTTGACGATGCACACAGCTCTTTAAAACGTTGCATAATTACGTCCTTTAGCAACCTCATGTAATGGAAAAGTGAGATTTCACGCGGTTGTGACTTACACTGTAAATTACTGATTCCGCTCAAACTGTCAGAAACTAATTGCTCTAGCAGTGAGGCTATTAACTGATCACACAGATGAACAGATGGCACCGGGATTGTTTTCCTCCAAACACTCATGGATCAATCAGAGAGAGAGAAACTCTCACCCATCGCTTCGAAGTCAATTTTACACTTTCAATACAAAAGAAACAGTTTGTACTATCAGAACATTTATATCCATTCTGAGCAATTGATGTGCTTGAAGGAGGATCTCTTGTTTTAGAAGTGGAACTGCGGATCCAGGGCTTTTGTCAGTAATAAATCTGAGGCCCAGTGATGTCACTACGCTGCGTCATCACCCCCGCGATGTTGACCCCCACGCTCCCCGTTTGGGAGGGTCCCTCCGACTTATGTGTGGCCCCCTCATGCACATCCTCCAGGCTTGGACGACTGCAGCAAACCAACCTCATTTCCTGCTCCGTTGCTTTACAAATGACTCCTGCGGGCTGAACCAAAATCAGGGGGGTTGCACTGATGGCCATAATAGCCGTATGATTAGAGTGGGCAACGCTCCAGCTCAGGGTGCAGACCAGACACACTTCCAAGCCTTCAGACCGGTGTGAAGACAGCGATGGGTGATAAATAAGTGATGATGAATGATCTCAAGGAGCTTTGATCCATTTCTGTTCATGCTTTGTGCTTTAAATTCCATTCAGACATCCATGTTGCCTTTGGACAATGAAATCATCAACTGCTATAATATGTGGTAACAGCAAATATTTAAAAAAAAGCTAATTGAGACCTTTCCTGAATTAATATATATTATACAGTAAATCTAAAGTTCAGTGTGTAGAATTTAGTGACATCTAGTGGTGTTTAGTTTGTCCAGTCTGGGTTACTGTAAAAAAAACATGGCGGCCTCCGTAGAGAGGGCCGGCTCCTGATGTAAATATAAAGTATTTAAATATAAAAGGCTCAGTCTACGGTAAAGACAGAAACAATTCAGACAATTCAAAAAACGTTTAATCAATCAAATCAATGTTACGTATTAACTCTATTCTTCACATCATGCTTATACAAGAACTTCCAAATGAATTGATCTTGACAAAACTTCTTTTCGCCTCATGCCGCGTGGGAGAGAATGGATGGAAGCACACGTGCGGCGCACAGTCAAATGTGTGACGTCTTACATAAGCAGCTAATAGGCTTAATTTTCTGACAGGTAGCCTACATTCTGCTCTGCTGCACTCCGAGACTTTCAGCCGTGGATCAGCCGCTGGTCTCAACACTGTGACTGACACTGTACTGACGGGATATCTCATCTTATGAAGATGGCTGCCTGGTCAAATAATCCTTCACACATACTGAACGCGATGCTCAGCTTCCTGCTTTCATTTTGGCTCATGTGCCTGTTTCAGTTCATCTTAAACAAGCCTCTGCCTTTTACAGCTGCATTTCAATTCTCCAAGGCTTTTGAAACACCTCCTGTATTAGCGGTCAGAATAATTGTTTTTGTTGTTCGTCCTAAACTACTTGACACAATGAATCATCAACAGTTAAATATGAAATTAGATTTAGTGAAGTTTGATTAAATGACTTACCTGAAATTAAAGACGCTGTCTTCAGACATGTTTTCAGAGTGACTCTGCCGACAGATGGTTTGTGAAATGTTGGGACTCAGAACAGTAGAAAAGCTTGAGAGCAATTATGTTGTTGAAAATGAAGTGGCACTAGAATGACAAGCTAGTCCTTTAGCTTTGTCTCTTGCAGCCCAGTCATTAAACTCTGCATTTTATTACCGATATGTCTGCTTTGTGTCATAAGTGAATTATCTTGATTTAAAAAAAGAAGTAATAGACGTTTTGCATCAACTAAACTTGGGTTAAATCACTTCTTACAAGAAGGTAGAGCCATCACAGCTTGGTTTAAACGTGTACAAAATGTTACATAAATACAAAAAAGATGACTTCCTGATCATTTGGTGACACACTGGCCTGAAGGACGAGTTGATCGATGAGGTTATTGACTATCACGGTCTCTCGCTCTTTGTGTGTGTGCATGTATCGGCCTCCTCTCGCCTCTGACATCACCACTGTTTCCTGCTTGACAATTACAAGGTTAATTGAAATAATGTTTTATTTTCCTTATTGCATCTTGCAGCCTTCTACTTCGAGATCACATGCATGTGAATATCCAGAATTTCTTGGGTATTCAGACTCAAAGCTCTTGATTCAAACGCCTTTTTCCGATTTTATACAATACTGATAAAACATCTCTTTTACAACTATTACCACAATATCCTATTATCCTCCTCCTTCCCTGCACTAATCAGGTGGTGATACTCGACCTCGCTGAGTGGAATAATGGATGCAATCAGGAGAAATCAGAGATCACGTCAAGGAGATTCAAGGAGATACGCTCTGATTGTTGGTGTCACTGCGATGCAGATCACTGGACGGCTGACGGGGGTCTGCGGTTGACTCTGTCTGTGAAGACTGATTGAATAAGGCTACTGATGAGGCCATTGTGGTCATAGGTACGTGGTGTGAATGCCTGACAGGCCCACGGCTGCCATTGTTGCAAACCACTGGGCCGTGACTTCCCCAGCTGTGGTACACAGCAAATCATGAGCCACTTAAATGAGTATTGGGATTGTGCAGTTGATAGAAAGATCATCAGGATGTTATCGGCATCATATACATGCGAGAAGCTCTATTTTGGCTCAAGCTGACCCAACATCATGGCTATTATAACATATGTGAAGCGTTCGGGCTCATGCTTTGTAAGAAGAACATTAGATCGTGTTGTTTGTTGTCTTATTTGTGCAGAGGACAAATTGCAGTTTGTTGTTTATTTAAAGCGTGTCAGAAATGCCTGGAGGTTAAATGTAGAAACGTGAATGTTTGTCAGGCACAAGGCTTCTCATCTAACAGAGGAAGCAAAGACCTGCATAGGAGCTTTGCTTTGCATCTTATGTTAATGAATTTGTCGCGGTTGTGTGATGTGAGGCGTTTGACGAAGTATTTATAGCGGCCTTTGATCGAAGAAAATGTAATTCTCAGTTAGATCTCGATGCAATTAAAGCGTCTTTGACACATGTTCAGCCTCAACTGTGCAAATGTTAATTTGACCTGCTCATGATTCACTTTGTAGTTTACCATTAATGTTCTATTGGTTGTTGAATAAATTAATAAAGCACAATTGCGGTCTTGTGGAAATTTCAAATCCGATTTGAAGTTTTTCATTCAGCAGGTAAAATGATTTTACAATGTTCGTCTTAAACAAAGGCTAAAGATGTATTTAGTTTTTCAGTAAAGTAAACCTTAACATTTTCACTTTATGGTGCTATATGGGAATTTAATTCAAGTGGAACAATTAATTCAAGGCAACATAAATAGCAAATTGAAAACATAATTCAGCTATTTCCGTCTCTAACTGACCCCAGAGACACTTCGATGCTGAAGCTGAAATTCCGGCTTTTCACAAAGTAAATTTAGATGCATGAAGTTCAACAAACAGCTCCTGAACCACTCCTGCCCACTCCTCTTCAATCCCACGGGTACAAACAGCAGGGTTCACGATGCTGAGTCCCAACAGTGACTCATCTTCAAAACACGTTTGTCCTCTTCCCCAGTGAGGAGTTGTATAACCTGCATAATGTTAATGCCCTCTGTTGTTCATCTGTATTTATTCATTTCTATACCCTCTCTATATGTCTGTCTGTGTGTTTACTGTTTCGCAAAAGTAAACAGCGTCAGTCTCCGATTGGAACTAAATTTGTTTTCAGGGTTCGAAAACAGGTTGGATTTTTGGGGGGTTTGGGCATTTGGCTGAATTTGCTTTTGCGTCACATACATGGTTTTCCATGTTCAGCAGCTTTAGATGAGATTCACGGAAATACAGCCGCCTCTCACATGTGGTCATTGTAAATAATTAGCCGTTTACCACAGAATGCAGGAGAACGTGCTCTTCTTACGTCGACAGAATCTGAATTCATGTCATGCTTTTGTGTAAAAAATGGGACAATGTGTGAAACAACCAGATTAATTGGGAAACCCAGTGCTGTGTAATTAACAGCTGTCGGTATAATAGAGGTCATAGAGAATACACAGAAATGCACAATGTCTAATCTGAGAGAAATTAAAATAAGGACAAAAGCTTTCAGAGCCAGAGTGTGGCATGAGATCACGCTCTGACTTTCACACTTTCATTTATTTGTCATTAACCTGTTTACAGAGGACTGTGACCCCAGAGGACTGTGACTCAGCATGAATCACATCAGGAAACAGACGCTGAGGAATGATCCTAATGACACTGACACACGACCGACAAGATCCAAATCTTTTCTGGTTATCAGCAAATATCCAGAAACCAATTGTGAAACATTTCTATTTCGAGTTGTACGTCTGACTTGATCCGAGCTCTTTCAAATTCTTCTTCTATTCTCCTGGTGTCATGTCTGGTTGGTCCTGCGTCACTGAATGAAGAACCAACAGGATTGGAGGGTGGGGTCGGGGTTCCTTCATGCTGTCAACTTGCGTATTCTTCTGCGTCACATACCATCGTGTCCAAATGATGCATTCATGGACGTAGCTGTCCCCGGGGAGAGGAACATCACAGACGGATGCCTGTGCAGTTCTGTCTTTTTCATTTTTTGTACCTTTTCTCTCGGTTCTTTTATAACGTGACCCCTGCTGTTTGCACCACCACAGAACATGGTACCCCTTTAGGGTCGACATCCATTTATCATTTCGCTCTTTCATCTCTCACGAGGCCCCCCCCCCCTGTCAGTCTGAGGACACCTGGGGGGGGGGGTACAGACTAAAAAACAGTCAGTGCCTCTGACCCTGAAAATAGAGGTCGTCATAGTTTTACATACGTCCGTCTTTGGCCTTTGCAAAGCCACAGAGGTGCTGAAGACAGATACATCAGCCATCTTGGGACGAATCATAACTATGGCACCCCCCCCCCCCCAGCGGCTGCGTCAAATAGACCGCCTGAACGTGCTCGGCTAGCGTGAGGGGCGGGGTGCGATTTGGTTTTCCTGTTTTGCTGGATTACCCCCAGAATACATTCTGCACCCCCACCCCCTTTTAAGCTCGCAAGACTATTATCCAGCAGCCCCCAGTAGTTGTTATCAGTGGCGGCCAGATGGAGAACACACCAGCAATACCTCAAGACTTGTTGATCTGGCAGCGCCGGCAGAGCAGCTGTCATTGTGAAGAGGTTCTTTGGTTTCAGATAAGCATCTCTGCTTTTGCCCCTATTTTATATATTTGCCATTAGAACGCTCGTTAATGGCCGTTATGCGATTCCCTGTTTGAATGTCACCGTTTTGTCTGAGAGGAGATTTTTTTTAAGCATGTGTGTGTATCTTTGGTTTATTATGTGTTTTAGAGGTTCTAATAAAACTCACTCTGCATTGTAGTCAAAGCTTGTGACTGTCAGACCGAATCTAATCAGCAAATTGTGCTTTCAGGGTGTTTTTCAGATTTTTCTGACCACAAACAATAGAATGTGACAAGAGTGTCCTGGATACAACACTGTCCTCTAGTGCCTCAGCTGCTACACTGAGGCCACTCCGCTGTTATCCAGTCCTCTAAAGCAGTAAATAATCCAGAGGCCGTGCATGTTTTCACTCCCAATAAAAGGCTGAGGACGAATCTATGAATCTCACGTCACTGCAGAAAAAGAAGGAGAATTTGCAGCAGTCTGCCGCCCCCACCTCAATTCCACCACAGGGGGAAATACCCATAATGCACTACTTGATGCTTTTGTATTGAATTGGCATTGCATTGGTGCGGTGACCCACTTTTTCCAACAGCGAGCAGGTTATTTTGAGATTCCATTAGCAGGAAGACCAAGGGCAACAAAAGGTGAAGAGTCTCGCACGCACGCCAACATCGACCGTCCGATAATATTTGGTGAGATTAAAATCTGCCCGAGCACCTGTTCGTCCACCTGCCGGAAAAATACAACCTGCATGTTTACGTGTGCCGCTGAAACACGAGTAGCTCTGATGATTACTGGTATGCAGCCAAGTCAAGTCTTCTTCTTGTTAGGATGCATCATGCGACCGGCAGACAAACGGGTTAAAAGCAGGAGGACTCACTAAAAATATAAACTGTAATAAAGACATTGCAAAGGTAAGAACAGAAAATGCTAATATAGCAGTAGATTAAATATGTAATTTGATATATTGGAAAACTGTATTTAATTTCTTGCTCAGTTATATGAGAACACCAGAAACTCTCTGATCTTATAACTGTCTGCGAGAAGGTTCATGATGGTATAAATTGCTCGGCTAATGAACCTTGGTTGTACGCTATTTTTCATGATGCATTATGGGAAACAATGACTGCACTATATAAGATACAAAAAACAAACTCAGGCACAATAGCTTATGTAAAATACTATTTTTTTTTTAAAGGTTCCTGGCTTTAGTTTTATATTAATCATGCATATGTGAGAGTAGCATCAATAGATCCGCAAAAAGACAGACACAGATGGGAAATACAGTGGGCGGGTTCCCACTGAATATGGCAGCAGTTTAATAAGACAGAAAAACAACGTGATGACCTGATGACAAACATGCTTCTATATACAAATGACTCAGCGAAATGCAAACACAAGCGAAGCACTGAAACTCAATACATCAGAATAATAATCTCAGTAGTTTCTCAAGTAATACTGTATTTTCCCTTTTTAATCAGCTGCTCCAGTCTGAGCTCTTAGAATCTTTCAGAAATATACCTGAGGCTTTTATCTTGCTGCAGGGCCCGACAAGTACAACAAAACATTGCCTCATTTCATTCGAACCCACCAGTTCAAACCCATTTTACTTGAACCATTAAGAGGGTGATTGGTGGTTATTACAACTCCTCTCTGTGAGAACGACCAGATGCTCTTTTTTTTTTGTCAAGGTCAGAATCAAAGCCGGACGGAGAGAAGGAGGAGGAGGAGGGGTTTGAATTTTTGTAGCCATCAGGCACTTGGAAGCTCTGCAGTGACGCAGCACCTGCAATCAGAAAAGACACAAAATGGAGTCCCAGCTGGCCCCACATCAGTGGGAGTCAAAAGGCCGGGGGAGGAGAAGAGGACGCTTCAGGCTCGATTAGGCCCACGTCCTATCTCCATCTTCAGCTCTGAGATTCATCACCCTGAGTCATTAGCAACACATTCACAGCTGCCACTCAAGTGCAGGTTGGGGCTGTATGTTGCTGCTTTATTTCGGGGACATGCTGACCAACAGGGGTGGTGTGCAAAAGCAAAATAGTCCATTAGGTGTTTTTTCACGTCAGGATTTGCAGAATCACATCATGTCCTGGTGACGAGAGCAACACTGACATCTGCATCACTCAGGAGCTGGTCCCTCTGACTGTAAACCAGCTGCGAGGTGGTTGACGGTTGCCTCTGGCGGCTTGAAATGTTCCTACACTATCCACAAGTCTTCACCTCCTGCTCTGCCTCTGTCCTGGTTAGTTTTGGGAATTCCAAAAAAAGAGCAAATGAAGGGATGAAAGTGAGAAGTGATGAGAAATGACTGAACGAGTTCATAGCAGGAGGTGGTGGAGGTGGTGGAGGAGGGGGATGGAGGGATTGGGAAGTGTGAGTGAAAGATAAGCAGATATCTGGCACGTGAACGGCCCTGACAGTGACAGAGTCCCGTGCAAAGATAAACAGCGCGGGTGCAGCCCCTGTAATGGCTTTGCACGAGTCATTTGTCACTCCACGTGAAAAGCAAACACCACAGGAAACCAGCGGCGACATTTTGCACTGACACTCGCCATCGCCCGGGGATATTTTACCAAGCTTTCCCATCCGTCTGCATATCTGCTGCTCCAGACACTGAATTTGGTTTTTTTAGCATCATAAGACCTGGGATGAGGTGTTTACATAACCAGTGCCTCGATTAAAGGCCATATTTAAATGTATCTGATACAGGACGCTCAATAAACGTCCTATTTTCATTTGTTGGCCGGTTGGAAACATTAAGCAAACACATGAATGCAGATTTAAATTACAGTGCATGAAAATAACTTCATTTAAACATAAAGTAACCAGTGCAGGAAAAATCGACTATCCACCATTTTGGATTAAAGGAGGTTTGTAATGAATTGTCTTATGTGTGAGCGCTGCCATCTTGTGGGTGTTTCTAACACTACACACAAGCTCTTACATATAAAAAAAAATCCTAGATTGAAATCAACTGTAGATGAATGTGTACAAAACATACGTCCACATGTTTGAATGCTACTTGATGTAATAAAAAATATTTTAAACTTCTTGTCCCTAGAAGAAAAAGCACATTTAAATCCAGCAGTTCAGATTGAGAGGAAAACTTTTCTTGAACAAGGCTCCTTATGTTTAATCAACCTATTAAAATACTTTCTGCAGCGCCCCCCAGCTGCTGCATGTGAGAATGCGACACCCTCGGCCGTTTCCCTGAGATGGGCAGAAGCTCGCCGTTGGCTTTCATCTGGTCTATTCTCCTGGACAGGTCCGCGTCACTGTCAATGACCAAGGTGCACCTTTGGGCGTAGCTGACCAGAGTTTCCTCTCCCTGGCGGAACATGCCCACCAGGGGGACCATGTCTTTGCCGGCCAGGTGGAGCTCGGCGATTGACGCCGTGTTTGCGATGGTGTTGCGGTCGATGCCGAGGTGTCGGAAAGCTTCGCTCATGTTCTTTTTCTTGATGAAGGCCGACAGGACCTGTTTGTAGCGGTGGATGACGTACTGGACACCTGTAGCTGGTGGAGAGAAGGGACGGGGTAAGAGGTTACACCAAAGACTTTAAATAAAGATGGACGACAGGTCTCCACTTCCTCCTGCCATCTTGCACTTTTGGAGCCAGAGGCTGCACAATCGGGAGTCACTCTCAGCTGTCAATCACGATGTTTGATCATTTTATAGCATAAAATAAAAAAATGAAAATCAAACATAGTGGTAAAACAAAACTGCAGTCAGCCACAAGGGGGTGATCAAGAAGATTTGGCTTCACTTTGAGGAGCTGCAGTCTATGGTGCCAATTATAAAGTGTAAACAATTCATATTATACTTTATTGTGACAGCACATTGGACTTTACCTCTCTTCCTGCTGTAGTCCTTCCCTTTCTTCGACCTTTTCTTGTCCTTGTGATGTTTCCTCCGTCTGTGTTCGCTTGACGCCGCTGAGACTTCAGACGAGTCGGACGCTTCAGAGCCGCTGTCACTGCCGTCAGAGGAGCTGGACGAAGCTTTTTCCCTCTTCCGAGATTTGTTCTCCGAGTGTTGCACTTTGCCGGGTTTGGGCGCTGTATGAAGAAACCCAAACAAGAGAAGCGATCGATGAGAATAAATGAAATAGACCAATGAGTCTAGATGCTTCAGACACTAACCCTCTGTGACGGGACTGGGGCAAGCGAACGTCGGCATGGAGCGATTGCTTGTGAGGTTTTCAATCTGGCTCCTCAGGAAGCGGCGGTCCTGCACCAGGTCCTCCACCTGCCTCTCCAGTGCAGCGATGCGCTCCTGTTTGCTCTCCAGCATGCACTGCAGCTTGGTGATGGTCAGCAGCACCCGCGGGGGCAGGCTCTCCACATGTGAGGCAGCTGGAGAGAGGCCACATACACAGGTTGTGTACTTTTTAGGCCACAAAAGACTATAAATCCTATAAATAGTCAGGAACATGGTCTGATTGGTTTCATGTCACCTCTGTTGCTCGGTACCTGACATGGCGCTGCTGGGTGTGTTGTCCTGCAAAGAATCGGCCGAGGCTCCTGACTGGAAGTTCTCCCACTTGATGATGCGGAGGTCATCCTGCTCCTGCTTCAGCCAGGCCGGAGAGCTGAGCCTGTCCTTGGTCCGCACGGAGCTGGAGTCGATCTCTACGCAGGGGGAGTAACCCGACGGCTCCTGCTGCCACACGGACGACATCTCCTCAAACCTGGGGAAGAAGAAAATGAAGAAAGAACTCGGTTTCAGTGATCGAGGAGAAAGATTGTGTACTATTAGTATTTCACTGTCAAAAATCAGGACTGTCACTCCAAAGACCTATAAATGTATTTTTTAATCCTCCCAATGAAGTATTCTGATTAATTATAAAACGTATTTGTGTTTTTAATCTGTTAGCATTTCTAAATATATAGTGTACAAAAGTTAAAGTTACTATATCGCAACAAAAACGGAAACGTCGACGACTCGGGCTGCTCCGTCGTTTGCTGTCAACAGCTGGCAGGACGTGAAGTCTGACTAAAGCTGTCGCCATGACGACAAGTTCAGATCTTGTAATTATGAGATTTGTATCCAGTAATTAAGAGATTTATGAAATATAGATCTTGTAATTATAAAGATGCTACGTCAACATTTCCTCTGTGTTTATATTCTACACAATTCTATGGAGTTCATTTGTTTCATGGCTACACTGTGAGAAGTAAAATCATTTCATAAAATATATTTTATATAATAAAATAAACAGTAGTAGTTATTTGGAATTTACAGTAAACCACCAGGAAAAACAAAGAAATATAATATGTTGTATGATTCTTGATTTAATGCAGGTTCTCATTAAAGCTTTATTTCACATGAACAGAAAAACATGTAAACATCAATAAGAGGCTCCTTCCTGTTCCACTGAGGATTCTTCTTATTTGCTGTTCCTCAATGTAATGACGGTGTCTGCTTCAAAAGTTCAGTGGAATCAAACATCAAGAGGTCTCAGCGTGTGGAGACATGAACCCTGTCATTTGTTTCCACGACTTGTAAGTTGTGCACCTGGTCTGAGAAACAGTGACGTGTTTTAAAAGATGCAGTTTTGTAGATAATGAATAACTGACGCTGGAATCACGGAGCATGAAGTCAAGTGAGTTTAATGGTTAATGAATGTTAACTCACAGTTAATGATTGAGACGTTTGTCTACGTAACATTTCTATAAAGAGGGGTGGCCTGTCTGTGCTGTCTGACGTTTGATTCACATAACATCAGAGGTTTCTATTCAGGTGCTTGATAAAAGTGGGTTCAATATCTCAACCCCGAGAACCAACATGTAGTAAAGTAGCAGTATGGTAGTTATACAAGTAGATTAGTAGTTTTAGAAGTAGTGTAGCAGATACAGTAGTAGTTACAGTAGTAGAGCAGTTGATCGAGTTGCTGTTGTTGCAGGAAGTGTCCATCATGGCTTCTCTGGATGTTTCCATGGTGATGATGCTGCATGGACTGGTGACATGTGCATGTTGCTGCAGCGTCCAAACACAATGAAGGAGTGAGTGCTGCAGTGATTAATCTGCACCTGACACAGCGTGGGAAGTTCTGCAATGTGCATCAAATGCTGCAATCTGAGAATAAACTTTCCATCTTAAAATATCTGGGGATTAGGTGCAGCAGCTCAGGTCTGCAGGTTTATCACCTGTCACTCAAACTCTGTGAGGGAAATTTAAAACATTGCATATTTGCAATGACATAAGTTCTAAACCTTAGATGATGCATGTAGAGGAGCCGTGTTATTGGGCTGCAGAGGGGCGAACCATTTCTCCTTGCAGTGGATTTAATTATCTCCCACCAAGATGGATGCTAATGACTGTAATTACCAGAGAAAAGGAGCAACAAAGGCAGAGGAACAGAGAGAGCCACGTACCTTCAGCAGAGTCCAGGGGATCAGACTAACACCTGGAACGTCCCTGCGCCTCTGGAAGATGGAGAATGAATCTTAATTCACCGTTTATCAACAAAATAAACAGACGAGTGGAGGAAGAATGAGAGAGAGAGGGAGAGAGGGAGGGAGGGAGGGGAAGATTACGGTGCCTTCAGGTGCTACAAAAAGCTCGTAATTCTCCCCACTGTGCCAAAGGACAATTCTCACAAACTACTGCTTGTTGTTTATTCTTTATACTGATTCATCAGCGTATAAAGACTTAATTTTGGAAATTCTAGTATTATTTACTTTAACCATTTTACATAAGAATGATGATAATATTAATCCCACTAAATGTAAATTTGCTTCTTTCTTTTTAAATTCCAAAAAGTATAATATTTCTATTTCATACTTCTTTATTTACTTGTACTATATTTTTAAACCAACAGTTCACTGGGGCTTAATTCTATTGGAGATTTAAAATTGAAGAATGTCATATTCCATTGCAATGTCAAGGAAAGTAAAAGAAGAATGAGTTCTTTCTTGGCCTTAGTTACAGAGAAATCTGTTGTAGTGGAAACTCAAGTTAATAAAACTCTCAAAAGACAAAGTTGATCTCAGGATTTTTCAGGTTTCCACCACAATGTCCAGAGGTTTTTGTTGGTGATCCTGCTGAAAAACAAACCAACAGTCGAACAAAACACCAAATATATTAATCAACGGGGGTGAAAACACAACAAGGCCAAGACATGATGATGTTACAAGCCTTTTATTGGAAGTTAAACTAATAATCTTTGGCTACAGAGAGGAAAACACCAAACCCACGACCACACTGACGTCATTTACTTGAGTCTCTACTCAGCTTTTTGCTAACTGTTTAAAATAGTGGTCATTTCAACAAATCTCAGCTGCCTTGTGTAGACATAAAAGAAACAGACATGACATCAGACTGTCCAGATGTTAAAGCAGGTTTCTCCTCTTGTATTTAACCTCTGGCCTACGTGAAACAGTCCGCTAAATAATGTTATATATTAAAACATCCACTGTGTTAGACGTAAATAAAAAAAAAATGAGGTGTATTTGGATTTGTCAAGTTTTTTATAGTTTTACTGGGTAAAAATGCAACATATCGTAAATCAATATATAGTTTCTCTCAATAAGCAACTAATAAAATATTTCATCTGATTTCTCTGCTGTGAAGACGAGAATCCAATTGCATAACATCTCATATCCTTCATGATCCCAGCAGATATTCCTCAAAACACACGTTCACATTTCTTCAGTTCAAAGCTTCAATCGTTTTAACAGCAGGGAAAGTTTAACAGTCGGGTTGGAGGGGGAAGAAAACGGCCCCAAAAAAATAAAGCACTGACGAAGAATTAGTTTGTATGAGACGGGGTAATACTTTTAATAATGTAACACTATAGTATGTTTGTGAGTAATGGGAGAGTATTAGGGTCAGGACAGAGATTGTGTTTAAGGATGGATGACTGGCCATGACATGGACCAAACTAAAAGGTCAAAGTGCACGTTAAATAATTTAAAAGATCTGTTTTGTTAATTTGGTTTTGATTTGTTATTTGATTTTATAAAAGCAGGTGAAACGTAGTGATTGACTAAGTTCTTGAGATTTAGACGGATTTGTCTTATATATGCAAATAAAAAACAGTCTTCTTCTCATTTCTTTAAAACTCCTCTGTAGTTGTTATATTTGCAGCAGCAAGACGAACTCTGGCTTTAGCTTTAGATCACATTAATTCTATCAAGTCTTAAATCAAATCGGTACTATTGCATCAGCCTGAAGAACCTGTATAAACTCGGTGCTTGTTTTAAAGTGACTGAAAATAACTCGTCACTGTGTAAATGCTGGAAAAGGTGTTAAGAAGTGAAAGGTTAAAAACAGACTATGAAACTGGCAGCGATTGACGGACACAGTTATAGAAAAAGGAAATTTACTTCGATATCTGTGAAAATAAAAGTTAAAAAACACAGAGCCACCAACATTCACTCAGTTTGGACAAGACATGAGCCGGGTTAGTTCTCCCATCACCTCCCCCCTCCTGCTCCCCACACGGCGTCACACGGAGGCCGAGGAGTGTTTGTTAGTTTGTTGGACAGAGAACAGCAGCGACGTTGGGACAAACTTCCTCTGCCGTCTCCGTCTTTCACCTCCGACGCTCTGCCTGCGTCTCTCAGTGGCAGATGGCCAGGAGGAGGCGTTTGAAGTCGCCGCCGCACTCGTCCCTCAGGGCGTCCTTCAGGGACACGTCGTACTTCTCCAGGTACAAGTCTTTGATGGTCTCAAGGTCAAACTGCAGACAGAGGAAAAAACCATTAGAGGACGAGGGGCAGATGCAATCGTCGCCTGCACGGGTTAAAATCTGTGCAGAGATTTCTGAATGTGTTTCAGGACTGAATCCGTATCCGACCTCAGAGCGACACACGATGATGCGTATGAGTGTGTCCTCATCGGTGCCGGCTCCTTTCATCGCCTTGTTCAGACGCCTGGCGAAGTAGAGCTGAGGATTCTTAGCGACTCTCACTGTGAGGACGGAGGAACAGGTTTCATTAAACTCCTCAGCAGTTTACTACAGCACCTCCTCATGCAACACTTTGTATTTCCCACTAACCAAGAGCGATGTAGCATTTCTTCAGTGTCCCAGAAGTCTCGTTCTCGATGGCGTCCAGGATTTCAGTCCCCGAGAGCTGTGTGGACAAAGTGTGAAGATAAAGTGGTGACGTTTCATTTTCCAGCTCCACATGTTCCTTCAGTTTTACGTATAGCGATTAGTAATTTATCAAAATGTGAGACAAGGTCATTAAAAATGTTCAGGACACTGAGGCCCTCAGGGAAAGTACAGTACAAATGATCCCTGTTTAATTCACACATGCTGGAGACGACATGTCTCAGCCATATCAACTGATACTCTGCAGACGCAGCGACACTCAAACCGACCTGCTCATATATCTTGAATGTGGCCTGGAGCTGCAGGTAGTTTCTGGAGGCCAGAATGTAGCTGAAGGTGGACTCGTCTGTCCCGAAGCGTTCCTCACCAGCCTGACACAGATTATTACTTTCGTTATCCACCACTCTGCAAATCTGTGACGACGTGCTGCAGAGGAAACGTTACCTCGATCAGGGAAGTAGCATCTTGTTCGGCGAGCTCTTCGTCCACCTCGTAGCTCTCGTCTCTGTTGCCCTAGATGTAGAAGTAGAGGTTTTTGCAGCTTCATGAGAACTTTGTGTCTGACTCATGCAACTGAATCTGCTGTGTGTCTATGAGTGTGAGTGTGTGTGTGTGTGTGTGTCAGGGGGGGTTCATAGGGCATAACTGGGCACAGGGAGAGTGAGCTCCATTTCAAATGCCGGCACAGATGGGAGGAGTTAAGTTACAGAGTGGAGCGGCTCACCTGCAGCAGAGCAGTGAGGAGGTTTCTCACGTCTCCGCTCGTGTCGCCCTCGATATCTGCTTCTAGATCCCGTTCATGCACTGACAATAAAAAACAAGAGAAACAAATATAATGACAAAAATAAACAAGATTCATTCTGTTTATTTGACATGTGAGTATTTAAAGTCGAGGCCAACAGATACTCATTCAGTGAATCTTGCTCTTAATGTGTAACTCTCTTCAACCGGTCCTGTTTGTTTACGTTAATAATTGTCCCACTTTCCAGGTCGATCTGTTTTCTGTCTTAAATCACACGTCAACACCAGAAAAACTCATTATAAATACAGACTACTGCTATAACTACCGCTGTGGACTGTGGCTTTATTTCTGTACTTCGCACTCTGACTCGCGGCACCATTCTCAAACCGACATGATTCATGCAGCAGCAGGACGCAGCCTAGTTATCAAACAAACCCTCACAGACGACCTCGTCTAAGCTATGATTAGATTAGAGTCATTTCAGCTTCTTATCCAGAATGCATCGGTGCAACATGGCAGAGAGAAACTGGTGTAATTGCAATTTATTCAAAGATTGTGCTGATGCTTTTGTATAATTTAAGGGGGGGAGGAAAAAGCCAAGACTTTGGGAAATCCTTAATTAATGCAGCGATAAGCTCAGATGTCATCGTGAAACAGGAAGTGACAGCAGGGTGGGCCTTGACTAAACAAAGTGTGACTGTTCTTCAGGGACAAGAATAGTGTCTGAATGTCTCTTATGTGGGAATCTAATGAGTCAACTTCCCCAGTTTTCCAGAGTTCATGACACAGGGATGGGAAACATGACATTAAACCACATGTTCATGAATGTGAGGTTTAGTCTTACCCTGAAAGTAGCATTCCTTGAACATGGCGATGTCCTGATGCAAACACAACAAATATAAAGTTAGATGTCTGTAAATGTCTCAACTTGCATGTCACTGGTTCAATCTTTATTTCGTTTACAAAACGTGCTAATTTGCAACTTGCAGCGTTCGTAGCGGTGCAGAGGATTTCCACCAGGACGTCTTCGTCGGTTCCCGCCCCCTTCATCGCCTTCCTCAGCTCCTTCACGGCGTAGATGACGGGCGGGTCCAGCATGGCGAGGATGGCCTTCTCGAAGTTTCCACTCAACTCGCTTTTCAACACGTCCGCCAGCTCCTGACGCAGAGACACAGGACGTTATGTTTTCACTCTTGTCCATTTGTCTGATACAGAAGTGATCATAAACATTGCAAGAGGGAATTTACATATTTTTGTATCTCGTGGATGTAAATGTGGTTTCATGGGGGGGGGGCCGTTGGGCCTTGATGGAGGTTTACGCTCTAGTTAGTGCTTAGTAATATATAATATCAGTCTGTGTTGCTGAGTCACACTTACGTCGTCATACTTGTCAAAATAAGCCTGTTTAATTTCCTGCCGCTGAAAGCAGCAGCGGTTTGCCAGGATGTCAATAATGGCCTGTTCATCAGTTCCTGAAAAAGGAAACACAAACAGTTGCAGTAGAAGAATAAACAATTTAATATGCAAGTGAAACTCAAAGTAGTGAAACCAAACGTATTCCCAACTTACCGATCCCTTTGCAGGCTTTGCGGATGGCCTTGATGTCCGCTATGACATCAAAGTCCTCGTAAGGCACGATTGTTGGCTGAGGAGACAAAAGACGGCCGTTACGTTCATAAACTCTGAAGCTCAAACCTGTGATTGAATCAATATAATCTCCGTCTAAATTAAGTTCACAGGGATTCGTGCCATGACAGGAGCAGCTGGCCCGTGGGGGGAGGGGAGGACTGTGACACAATGCTTCAGTTGTGGAATCCAGGGCCGGAGGTCTTTAAACAAACTTGGTGGGGGCTCAACGAATGCCAGCGAGAATCAAAGTGCGGCTCAGGGGCCAACAAGGGTCTGAGAGGAGATTTCAAGGGTCCACTCAATGGAAATACATCGATGACAACAGAGAAGAGCAGGAAACGTTTCTCAATTTACAATAATAGGATCAATGTGAAGTTTCATGCTTGAAGCTAAAAAGATCTCTGTGTTGATATGAAAAACAACTTTAATGTACCATTTATTCTACTGTGATACAATAATATATGAAAACACTAGAAAAGGGGCCGGAGCTGGATTTGTTTTAATTTGTTTTTAACCTCTTGCAGTCTCACTCTTGCAAAACAAACACACACACACACACACACACACACACACACACACACACACACACACACACACACACACACACANACACACACACACACACACACACACACACACACACACATTCATATCGGCTCCAGTCTAACGGAGCAGTGATGAATTCCGCAGGGGAGTGGCTCCTCCTCTGCTCTGCGTAAAACCAAACACAGTTTTCTGTCCCACGGTCGTTTTAGTAGTAAAATAATAAGGATAAAACACTAAACCCAGCTTATATGAAACGTTAACACTTTAAATCCCGCCGCGATAAAATGAATTTATCTGGGTTTTCTCTCTTTGCGCAGTAACTTGAGGGCGAACACAGCCACTGCAGTCGTTCGGTCCATTACGCAAAGTGCGCAAGTCACGGTGGCGATTCATGCAGCCTGATATTTGTCTGCACATTAAATCCACAGAGTCTCACGTGAATCCTGGAGATCGACTGGATCAACGTCTAAAGCATCGATCACACTCTGATCCGCTGATCGGCTCAGATTTAATTATCATCGTTGTTTCTCATCGGTGCGTCTGACGCGTAAAAATCTTTGAGCCAATGTTACCTGACAGTTTCCCATGTCGTCGATCGGGTGGATCCAGCAGCTGGTGCTCGGTCGGTGGAGACTGGAGGACTAGTTAGTTTGGTTGGTTAGTTGCTCAGACCTCTTCTCACCAAACTGCGGCCCGAGCCTGCAGCAACCAGAGCGTGACGTCACCACAGCCGGGTTAACCATTTACATCCAGGGGCGCAGAGAGACCAGCACCACGTGTTTCACCGTGAGGACGTCTTACTTTAGTTTGTATTATCGTGTGGACAGCATTTCAACTTCTCTCTTTTCTTACCACGTGACATTAAATGTACTAACATATTAATGCAGCTGTAGCTCAGATTGTTTCCTGGGAGTCAAAGTAAATGCAGGTGGTGATATATGGATCTTTTAACAGCCTCTGTGCCCAAAGTTCACATAAAAAATACAAAAATCTGAGATGTGTTCACCAGGAAAAAGGGACAACGAACAAAATATATTATAAAAGTGGTTGTGCAGTTTATTATATGGAGGACAAATGTAGGAAAAGTTGAGTACACAGGATAATAATAAACCTGCGGTACACAGTATAATTACCAGCTGTAGCTGCCTACGCTCCTCTATCACCGTCCCTGTATCTTAATTACTCTCCCACTGAGCAGGAGAGCTGCTGCCGTCCACAATAAGGCCTCCAGCCTCCGACAACACATGCACAAACCACATAAACCGCTCCAATTAACATCCTGCTGACGTCACACCAACGAAGACGTGCAATTAGAGGAGGTGACTCATCCTCTCCTCACTGTATATTTATCTGAAGTTTACCTGGAGGATCAATGAGGGAAACTCTCGGGACAAATAACTCAAAGTAAACAAGTGCAGCAGCTGTTAAACACTGCGGCGGCTCTTCTAGTGCCGGAGAGAAACCACGGATCAGGATCGATACCACGTGTGGCTGCAGGGGGCGCTGTTGCTCAGTAGCAGATACATAGTGTTGCTTTAATTTGCCTATTGTCACAATTTCACTTTATGTCATGTATAATTTCCAAACTGTTTGTCCACCATGTGTCAGACTGTGCAGCAGACCGCTCAGGCATCTCAGATTTGGGGAAGTTATGGTCTTGGTCTCACAGGCGGTGGAAGGGAATCCCACCGAAGTCTTTATCGTGGCTCTGTGACGGAAACAAAGACGCCATTCAAAAGAAAGCGGCTCCAGTGCAATGTCATGCTGGCCCAGGACCCAGACTCGTGTTTTGACCTCAAACAAAACCTGTTGTGAGTCTGAGCCGCTCAGAGGTTTGAGTTTCAGCCGTGTTAAAGAGGTCAGGCAGGAGTTTTACCTGCAAAAATATTTTAGCTCTGCAGGAGAAACTTGAATCTCGATGAATATCTTCTAAAAGCAAAACTAGAAGAAGAAAATCTGTCAAGAATTTGAACCTTTATTTGTTATGTTGTCACAGCAGGACGGCTTCACTCCTTCACTTGTCTTTTCATTGGTCAACTGTTCCCTTTGTTTTGTTATTATATATTTTTGTGTAGCCTGCTCTAAAATGAGGAACGTGGAGCATCTTGTTAAGTTATACGACACAAACAATGAAATACTTCATATTTTGGCACATCAGCTCCAGATTATCATAAATATCAGGACTTTAAAAAGACATTCTGAAGGAAGAAAGACAAAACCACACAGACTTGTTTCTTTTGTGGAGGATGAACTGTGAAACTGCTCATCCCTGAAAAAGACATTTTAACTTGACACAGCAACAGCAGAAGTGTGCATCAGACAAAGCTGCACAGTCTCTCATTTCCTCCTCGTCTCAGCCGGAAAGATCATGAGACCTTCTGAGTTCACTAAAGTCTTTTGTTCCATGGAAACAAAGCTCTGCTCATAATCGATGCATTGTTCACCTGCTCCTGGTGTAAAATCCTGGTGATGAACAGTCCAGGATTCTGGTTCCTCTCACTGGGCCCTGGTGGTAGTTCAGGGCACCACAGCCCCCAAGATGGAGCGAAGCATTGGTGTCACTGTGCTGCAGACATTTCTCCCTCTCTGTGTTGTTCTCTCTTCTCTACCTGCTTGAACACATATTTGTATTTTTTCTTTGTGGTCTCCTGAAGATAAAACATGCAGTCACTCACTCTACACGCGTTATAAATGTGATGGGAGCGTCACACAGGCTGATCCTGAAGTTTCCCATGAAAACAATTGCACTCGATTCTGTGTTCAATGGCATAAGTGGATAAATGTCTTCATCTAGTGGTCATTTAATGTAACTGCAGCCAAATACTGCTGCAAATGATGAATTCCTATAAAACTCAATAACTAAACTAAAATTAAATGAAAAGACAAAAGAATCTGAAAAAATGAACTGATTAAACAAAATTATTCTGTGTAACATTTTAATCAATTCTCATATTTCATAGTATCTATCGAGTCTCAGTCTGAAGATAATTAACTATTGATGTGTAATGTGGATTTAATTCCATCTCTATTCTTCTAATATCCATTAGATTCATAAACACCTGAACATCAGTTCAAGGACAAAAGTATGTGGACGCCTTAATAATTGTACTTTATAATGTACCTGTACTTAACTCTGGTAGATTTACTTTCAGGAACGTTTTACCTTTACTCCACTAAAGCATTATGTTCCTCTATCGCCTCCTTCTTAGAACAGTGAAGTTTTATTTCTAACCTTCGTTTCCCTCGTCTGATCTGTGTGTGTGTGTGTGTGTTCATGGGGTTTCACAGTGGGTGTCAGACATTTCCAGCTCAGACGGCTGAGAGCCGGTGACTAACGGTGAGTGAGCGACTGCACACTGGTCCCTGAGAGAGGCCACCTCGCCCCCCATCAATCAGCCGCCTGCCTGCTACCCGGAGGCAGGGACGCTGGAGATAAAGCACCATCGCCTTCTGGAAATTGCTACAACTGTGTGATTATGACCGATGACGTCAAAGGAAAGCCTTTTTGTTTTTAATGAATGAACATTGACTTTGCTTTCATTCACACACGTCTGTGTGAGTGTGACTCACCAGCGTCGTGGCCTTGGGTTGTTTGTGTTGGTGAAAAGTACAGTGATGACGGAGAGGAGGAGAAGACCTGGTGTAAAAAAGAGGATAAAGTGGATTATTAGATGAGGAGCTGCTCTTTCTGTGATGCAGAGCTGGTCCCAGAATCTCCCTCATGTTCAATAATGAGCCTTGAAATAATGAAATTCATTTGCTGAGCTGGTTTTAAGTTTGGTTCTTGTGACTCTTTGCCACTTCAATGCAGGATTCGTTGTCATTAAAAAGCTTAATTCACATATTGAGTTTGCATGTTTTCAGCTCCACATGTCTCCTGTGTAAGTCAGTGATGGATTCTCTTTACAACAGACTGTTTAATATCAGTAACAATGTGATTTGTGGAGAGAAAAATGAACTATTTTGATTTTATTTCCCCTTATTTTTTAAATGACGACCACCAGGCTGCAACAGAACAGATGATGTGATTACAAGCAGCGGAAATGTCAAAAATCTGTCACTTCCAACTCACGTTTTCACCCATTATGTCAAAAAATAAATAAATACACAAGAATAGATGTCTTTATATTATATAGAGGTTCACATAAAGAAGACATTATCTAACTAACCCTCTTCTCCAATGAATCCCATTATAAATGTGTTCATGCAGAAGCCACAGCAAATTATGCAGCTTAAATTATTACTGATGCAGCTGGACACTGAGGGAGACGTCTCGCTGACTCATTACACTCCATGTTTCTCTTGGACAGAAGATGAAGATTCACAAGCTGCAGAACAGCTTCTACTGGAAATGTGTAATATTCCAACATATACTCACATGCGTGTAAAAGTAAATATAATACAGTAAAAAAATACATGATGCTGAAATGAGCCAGTCTGCATAATGAGCACATTTACATACTTATACATCTATAATTTTTATTTTGGATTCAGGTTCCTCCTCCAACACTGACTTCACAATTTCCCAAATGTTTCCTCCTAATTCAATGAGAGTCAATACAAAACCCTGGCTGCATCTCCACTCGTTCTTTGAGGATATTTTACAGACACCATGTGATAGACATGTCCCAAAATAAACATTTCACATTTCATTTTGGTTTCACATTTCAGTGACATGTGGGATTTAACTGGTTCATCATATTTACCTTAAAAGTTCCTACATCTTCAGGTGGAAGAAAAGAAACAACAGCAGGTTAGATGAGGAAGAGGATGAGGAAGCTGATGAAGAGTCAACGTCATCTCAGGACGTCATGACGTGGGGTTCCACCACCACCAGGGGGCGGTGCGCAACCGAGCGTCCACATTCCAGTGTTCAGCAGGTTAATTTGTGAAAGATGGGAAACACATGGAGATACAATATATTGTTATAGACTTGATATAGATTAAGTCATGTGTTTGATTTGAACATGTTTAACATACTTATACTTTGTTTTATGTGTTTTAAATACGTCTGTATGAACCGAGGCCCGGACATTTAAACAGCTTTACTCTATTTATCACACTGACAGGTTTTACCAGCAGCTTCCTTTGTTGGTGCAACTATGCTTTTCTTTTCTTTTATCTTCCATAAGATAAAAACGCAAGATGAATCATTCTGCACTCATAGATGAAAATATGCACAATAAACAAACACGGCACAGACGCAGACACAAGCCTACAGTATATCATCATCCATAAAAACACAGGTGGACTGCATCCATGTGTGCGTGAGCACGGGTGGAGGTGTTCTGTCTTCCAAACGACGGAGGAAATCGTCTGACAGGAGCAAGAAGAGGAAATTCTGAGACAAATGGGCTCCTCTCAGTGTGCGGCTGAAGGGCCTCACTAATTGGGAGAGGTGTCATCGGGCCCCGGCAGTTAATCACAACAACGTGAGGAGAGAATTGCAGCCGGGGAGGAAAACGCTCTCCTTCTTTGCCTACAAGGTGTTTGCACGCCAGGCGCTGGAAATTCACAAGCTGCTGTCACGTCTGCAGGGACTGTAACCGGCCCTGAGTTTGAGTAAATGTAATGCGGTGCATGCACACTATCGTCAGCAGAGATAATTGTAAATGCGTGCACTACACAACCCTGGACCTCTGGTACATGCACTGTTTGTCTTGGATAAGCAGTTTAGATATAATTTGGCTCATAAATATATAATGTCTCCCGGCCGTGGAGGAGGAGCCCAGTGACTAATGGCATCTTGAGTTTCAGGAACACTAATAACAACATTGATTACCAATATT